TTTCAAGATGGTTTGGTTTAGGTTTCAATTTTCAAAAACTGCACAATTCCGAATCGAAATGTTTTTTAAATTTTTAATTAAAAAATTAATTTTATTAACTTACAAATTTTAAAATTTTCACTTTCTAGAAAAATACAAATTTAACAATACAAATTACAACCAATACATTGAAATAATCATATAAAGTAAATTAAGTTCATTATTATTGACCGATGATTTTATAAGTCCACAACATACGTCTGACACGATATCTAATCTAAACTAAAATTAACAAATCATATGAAATAAAAAAAAATTATTATCAACAATCCAAATCACAATTCAACAAAACTACGACAACAAATCAAGCCCACAATTTCAGAAGCCCTAACCTAGATTCTCATTTATCAAACATTTAACGCTTGCCTGCCGATTCTCAATTGCAAATCGCTAGTAGCCTTTTGCTTGTTAATCTGCTAATTTCTACTCGAATAACCTCTTTCTCTCTACTCTCTTGATAAATCTTAGATTCTTATTTAAGTCATTTTTTTCATTGTTCTTTCTTTCATTTGTTGTTTTTGAACTTATTATACACTTGTGATTTGAATTTTAAAAAAATGACTGTTTGTGTGTTTAGGTGATTAATGAACTTGTTTGTGGTTTAGAAAAAACGAAGGATAGAACGTATTGAATGTGTGAAAATGTTAAAGTTCCTAACTAATACTACTATATTCTACTTTCTTAACGTCGTTAGAGAATAAAATTTATCAATTTCCAATAAACATAAACTCTATCATTCTTTGTACATTTAAACATATCATGTTCAGTCCTTATTTTTCATCTCACTAGTAGGATGAAAGAAGTTTTAACCAAACTATTACAGCAGAATGTGACTGTCTTTACCAACTGTTATATGACAATATGAAAGTCAAATAAGAAAAGGTAAATAAAAAGGAAGAAAGATATATTCGTTCTATTAATATTTTTTAGCAACCAACTTTGAAAATAATTTATTCACAGGTGGGAAAGATGAATGTAATTTAATATTTAACATTATTAGTTCTCATTTAAACTTATATGTTAACTTATTTTAAATATATTATTATAATGTCGATAGGTAAATGGTGTGTGCTGTCGCAGACACCCAAAAGTAATACCTTAACATCTAAAACGAATGTAGTAGTGGAAGTAAGGGTTGATCTCACGAAAAGTGTGTAATTCAATATTTTATGCTTCATACAATGATTGGGGGGTTTTTGTATGCAAACAATTGTAAATAACGTAATCAATAACAATGAAAATTAAATTAAGGAAAACAATCAAAAGACTAACCTAGGTCTAAGTTCACATCCACCGTCGAAAACTCACGATTGATCATAGATGCAATGATAATTCAATTCATATTTTGAATATTCATCGTTGGAATTGATTCATATTTCTCCTTAATTTTAGTTAATTAGAAATCAGCATTCTAATTAACTCTAATTATTAAATAACATCAAACCAGCGCTCAAGATTCAATTTAATAATAGCTTTATACAATAGAGAAATCGATGAACTAGATAACACAAACATCTGCGGTTGCATTCAATATATTTAAACATTCTTCTTAAAATTCAATAACATCTATCGCAGAAATCATCAAATCCTAGTGCTCACAAGTTAAAGGGATCAAACAATTACGGATTTGACATTTAATTTAGCGGTAGATTGTTACAATCAATGAACTAGCGGGTTCTCTAGCAATTAAACTTAACAAATCATAGAAATAAATGTAGAAGAACATTCAATACGCAAAATATAAATCAAAAAATAAGAAAAACTGTTTAGATATCACAATATGTGGTTTCGAGGCTTCCGTTTCCTTCGACCAAATGTAAAAGTTTAATTACAATTCATGAATCTAAGAGAAAAATAATGAAGAATGGAGTTTGGAGGCGTTTTGTACGTTCTGGTTTTGTTCTAGGGTTTTAAAATATGTATTTATAGTTGATTCCATAAGTAGTTGATTTAAATTCAGAAACCAGAATTTTCGTGTCGAAAATGGACCATGCGGCCGCATGGTTTAGATGCTTGCGATCGCATGGAACAAGTAAACTCAACCCTCAAACTCTCGGAAGTGGTCTGTGCAGCCGCATGGAATTAAAATCATGCGACCGCGTGGTTTTACGAAACTTCCTCCGGATAATTTTCAGTATTTTGGTCATATCTTATTTTCCTGATATCCGATTAGGCGATTCAAGATGTATTGGAAAGATAACTCAAAGGGCTACAACTTTTCTTTAAATATCATCTTCCAATTCGATCGTTTGCCATATCAAAAATGGGTCTCAATATGAGGCTAAAAATCGGTGTATAACTTTTCGATTGAAAATTGATGTGTGATCATACTTTGACGATATTTCATCCCTTCAACGTCTTCTTTCAACCAATTGACTCTCAAATCTTCATCATTTCGTTTGACACAACTTTTGTGCATTTGCACGCTAGTCTTGAAACTTTCATTTCCTTTCACTTTGGTCAATTTTCATATATTTCTTCCAAATTACGCTATATCCATAGAATTGCCACTTAAATCAAAATATGAGATTACTAAGTACATTTTGGCACAAAATAATCATACGAGTGCATAAAATAAGAAGGAAAAAATATACATTTTACATTCATATCAGTAAATCGCAAATTAAAATCAAACCAACCCTCAATTTGGTTTGGTTTGGTTTGAAAAAAATTCCAAACCGCATGAAATGTTTGAGTTGAAAATAGCACAAACCGCCCAAAATGAACCACATTCACCTCTAATCGATGGTTGATCATTCAAGTCCTTTGATTCTTTATTATTTCATTTAGCCATTGTTTGATTTTCATTATTTTTAAAATATATATTTTCTCTTTTTTTGAACTACACATTCTTAATAAGGATGAACAAAATGACCAAATTAAATCAGAACCAAACCAAACCGAGATGTTCGATTCAATTCTATAAAAGAAAATTAATGATTCTGATTCTTAGAACTGAGAACCATTTGGTTCTGGTTTTGGTTCGATTATAATTCTAGAACCAATAACCAATCCAAAACCCAAACTCAATATTTAAATTTTATTCTTTTATATATATTTACAAATTAGTGAATCACAATTCACATAAAAAAAATTCAAAAATCAATTCAAAATTAGGACCAAAAAGTCATGTATTTTCAATTTCTCATTTTTCAATGTAGAGACTGAAGACCCTAATTCATTTTGGAGACACATGCCTTAATTTGTTTCACATCTTCTGTCTCTTTTTAATCTATACACTAACTCTCAAATAGAGATAAAAAACTACCACCTACCATATACCATCACGCTAAGCTAATCAAGAACCAAATCCAATATTTAAATTTGTATATATATATATATATACAAATTAGTGAATTACAATTCACACCAAAAAAATTCAAAATTCAATTGAAAATCATGACAAAAAGATCATCTACCTTCGATTTCTCATTTCTCAATGTGGAGACTGGAGACCTTAATTCTTTTCTCATTTTCTCTCCCTTTAATTTATACACCGACTCTCAAATGGAGATCAACCACCACCTACCGTCGCGCTCAGCTACTATCGTCGAATGAATCTCTAAAATTGAAGCCACAAACTTCGATTTTTCTTCTTCAAATGTTTTTTTTCTGAATTAGTATTGAAACTAAAACCAAACCAAAACTAAATGGTTCGGTTCCGATTTGATTCCATATCTTTAAAAAAACCATTTGATTCCATTATATACATTTAAAAAAAAAAAAACCATTGATTCGTGGTTCGATTCGGTTCTCTTGGAACCAGAACAATATGGAATCAGGTCTACCCCTATTTTTCAATAAAATAATATTACACACAAATAAAAAACTGTACTTTTTTTTTAACTATACATTCTCCATCAATCAATTATTCAAAAATGCATTCTTTTCAAAACAATAGAGCTCAAACAAACCTTTAGAATTCTTCGGATAATCAATTTATGTAATAGGAGGATAAAAGTTGACTTCCCCGTTTGTCTACCTTTATTTTTAATTTTTTTTTTCCAAATTCATTTTTAACTATACATTCAACAATAAAATATCTTGTACATAAATCAAATGTTTTTTTCCTACTTAATCACACATTCTCCTAAAAATTACTATTCGGTACTATTTTTTACGAAAGTATAATTATCAGGCTTTTAACATAAAAACTCCCTATTAGAACGACTAATAAATGAATAATATTTTTTATCATCATAATAATAAAACATCGATGATGTGACAATAAATTATCCTTCACATTTATCTCTCTATCTTCTTTCTCTCTCATGAAAATTGAACTGTTTAATCTCGTTATTCCACATAAATTATCACATCATTGATTTTCCATCATCATAATAATAAATAACATTATTCCTAATAAATTGTTTTCAATTTTTTATCACTCTCAAATTGCCTATTGTTGGTTGTACTTCGTAATTGCCTTCGGTTGGGTGGACAGCTTAACACTCCTCGTCACTGCTATACAAGTAACAAATGCATTGGACAATCTAGCAAGCGAACTTGTCTCCCCTACTTTTCTAATAGTGTCATTAGCAATCACATGTTACCCAAATGGTCGTCCTTTCAATAGGCCATCCATCGTGATCGCAGCAGCCTAATGCAAATATTTCAAATGCAGAAAGGAATTACCGCCGGATCAAGAACGACTATGAAACCAAAGCCATGGCAACTGTTGTTCATTTGAGCTTACGAGTCCTTTAGTTACTTCCTTCGAGATGAAATGAGAGACTGGCATCCACAGAACTCTTTCAACCAAAGTATATATCTGCCTCCAATCCCTTCATAATCATTCTCCTTCAACATGTTTCCTACCTGAATGCAAATCTCTAATGGGATTGAAGCCCGAATTAGGGAAGGGTTCAACATATAGAGGGTTTGAAATTTATGTAAACTTCCACAAACTTCTTATTTCACATAATTACAACAATTTAGTAGGAAAAGATTATTTAAAACGTTCACAACGCTAGTTCAGCTGTCTGAGACTGTCCATGTAGGATATGTGAAATTCTAGAGTCCAGACTTCGCCCTTGTTTTTGCAGCCTGTGCCTTCTAATAGTCTCATGGCACGACGAGAAAAATTCATGTCTAAGAGCTTCCTCTGCACTGATCCTCAATCTTGAATTTACTGTTAAACACTTATCGACAAGGTCGAAAAGTGATCTTGGTATAGACTCGAAGAATTCTGGTCTTCGTGTATTATGTTCACACCAATCTCTAAGTTTCACCGATGTCAAGTATTTCACGTCAAGCAAGTCCTGTTTTGAGATGGTAATCTTCAGAGGAATTCAAAATTAAACAAAGGATATGATTTTGAGAGTCGGAGAGAATAATACCACTGGGAACAAAGATTCGTGGTTGTGTATCTTGGCTACTTCCCATAGATCTTCACTGCCCCTCAACTTTGCAATCTCCTTTATGTTCCTGTTCATGTTACTAACAATGTTGAGTATATTCTTTATGAATGAAGTTAAATAATGTGGTATCATTCTTACTGATCGGGATCACCAACAAAAGGCGTTCGCCCAATCATCAAGTAGAGTAAGGTGACTCCAGCTGACCAAACATCAATCTTTGGGCCTTGATGTAGAGATCTGAACAATACCTGTAAAAATCCAACTCTCTCTCAGTGAAGTGTAGAGTGAATCATTCAAAAAGTTTGCTCACCGTGAAATGTGTAGAAGTTGGAAAAATGGATAAAGAAGACAGTGGTAAGGACGAAGGAAAAAAGAAAAGAAGCAAATTTGTTTGCCATTCTTTATGGAGTGAAACGTTATGCTACCAAAAGCCTAATATTATGAAAATTAAGTAGCAAAAAGATGGGAAATATAGCTTGAGTCGTTCAATGGGAAGGATACACGAGCAATTACCTCTGGAGCCCTGAAACCTTTAGTTCCAACACAGGGACCTTCTCGTTTGTGCTTTCCATCCCCTATGAATGGGGCAAAACACTGTTAATCCTAGTACATAGCTTATCGTCTTTCATTTCAGACCGATTTACAAGAAAGATTCAATTGATAAATATTAAGAAATGACTGACATACCTTTACTTTTTAGTAATCCAGCACCACCAATAGCAATTCCAGATGCGTGCAGAGGCATTGGAGTGGGATAAAAGAATTTACTGTCCACTTTTCCAGGAGGTGCAGCAACTCTCTTTCTCGTAGAAATAGGAATATTAACTGATTTTTGATTTGCACAATGCAGTGCTTCCTGAACCAGGCTAATCAGTTCCTTCCTTCCTTGGCTTGGTATGGGTTCTCTCAACTTTTCTGCAGATGGAGTCCTAGTGCTTGTTGCATCCTTTGCGGAAGTTATCCCAGACCCATCAGCACCTTGGCTTTTGATGATATTCTGACTGCTAGAGTTGGTATAAATCTTTGCCGGATCTGATTTCCTTTTCAGGTTCCTAGGTAATAAGAGGGACCTGGAGCTTTTTCCTGCATCCTGATTGACTACTTCGGGAACTTTTGTATTTAGGAGCTTCCTATTTCTTTCAGGAGGTAGAGATTTGGTATGAGGAAGTGGAATGTGATCAAAGCTCACACTATGACCCCAACCCCCTTTGGAGTTATCTGTAAGGAGTTCAATTATTCAGACATGGTGAATACACATGGGGAAAAGGGCACAACAAGAATTTGTATCCTCAAATCATTTAAGAGGGGTTCGTCGAAATTCCATTTTCTCATTTGAGAACTGCGCTTAATCTTTCTTTTGAGTTAATTACTAAATGGTGAAATGTTGCTAAAATTTTCACTTGTGCAGAAAAATTGCTTAATTTTCTCCAACCAAGAAAGTGGAACGAAATTACACTAAAGAGTAAAGAATTTGAGTAAGAATGAACACTCACCACCAGTGTTCCCATATTTCTGATGCAAATCCTGTTGAAAAAATTGGATTGAGGGCAAAATATGAAATATCAGATTATGCATTTTGAAGAATTTTACGAGGATAAAGTGTCAAAAAAAGGCAATATACATTTACAAGATTCACTCACCAATGCAAGATTAAAATCAATGAGATAACCCTTGTTGACCTTTCGGGAGAAAAGAAAGTTGCCGGGTTTAACATCTCTGTGAACAATTCCCTGAATTTACAAGAAGACTCAGTAAGTTCATCTTGCTCTTGAAAAGGTCTTCACTGCGCATGTTAATACATGAATCTGCTCACTTATTCTCACCTGCTTATGTAGACCAGCAAGGGCTTTGAACATACAAAAGCCATACCACTGGAGCTGATAAATATCTATTTCTCTCTTCAAGACCTTGTGGATAAAATAGAAGTACAAACATAAGAAACATTATTGATTACAGATAGTATGTTAAAGGCAAAAGATAAAAATATTTATAATACCTCAGGTCGGTCGTGTTCAACATGCTCCAAAACTAGACAATCAGAATTCCCTTGCTTCAGTGTACATTCATATTTAATCACAAAGCCTTTTCCCCTGATGTAAAGTAAAATTCACAAATTCAAGACCAGTCTCATTGATCAAGAAGAAAAGACAAAGAATGGATGTTTAGTTTATGGCAATTCAATGCATATATTATTACCCTAAGCGCTCCAGCATCTTCAACTCATTGTGCACATGATGTCTGTTAGCATTGGCATGAGGACCTAAAAAAAAAAATGGTAAACGGACAACTGAAAACTGTAAAGCATTTTATAATGTAATATGCTTAGATTTTTCTAAAGGCAAGCGTGCCCATTCCCCTTTTCTGCTGTAACAAAACCTAGGTTATGAATTGAAGCAACTGGAAATTTTGAAAAGATTCAGCAAGATAAAAGACATTTAGATGCTTAATGAATTTCAAAGCTACTGTGTGGCAACATAAACATCATGCAGATTAATCAGCAAAGTGATTACAAGATAGAAAACATATTAATCGTACTAAAATATTTAGGGCAGCCTGGCAAGCCAACCTAAAGAACTGTTGCTTAAAACTTGTCTTGGCCCACAATTTTCAAAATTCCTGTGAGTGATGTTCTATGTAAATACCAATGAGAATCGAAAGTGTATTTCATATGATAGAATTTTTATTAACTGTATACTATACTATATAGTTTGAATCCTTTGTATTTAGTAAATGAACATCAGTTGACATAACTCATAACTGCCAGGAAAAGACACATTGTTCTAGGGAAGGAATGCATGATTGAAGGACCGAGCATTTGAAGAACTGTCATGTTCAGTAACACGTATTACAGCAGGCAGGACAACTGTGGATACTGGGCTTCTATTATTTTGGCGAATGCACTCCACTAGTTGGCTTAATAATTACTAATGAGAACAGAATAAATATTTTCTCCAAATGATTTGTTCAAAATGTCTTAATTTAGCTCCCCGATAAGAACCATTGAAGATTTTGTGTCATCTATGCATGCATCGCCCAACTGTATAGTTAAGGATCATGGAAAATAATCAAGAAAATGATCACTTCTTTTCATCAATTTTCTTTTCTACTCTTTGCCTGACATAATAATAGAAAAATAACAAATTTTAAGCATGAAATGTTGGCTCAAATTATTTCAAAGTTAACTAAACTGTCTAAAAAAATATTTTACTACATGAGAATTGTAATATGTAGTATCTTATCATCATTTTCGAATTTACACCTAATAACGCAACTTGTATAATGTGAAATCTAAAACCCAGAAGAGCGGGATACAGAAAAGTAGTAAGTGTCCTACATTTGATAGCAAATACCGCACCATCAGTCTTTCTCCTTGCCCTGTAAACTGTCCCATAACCTCCTGCAAAAATAGTTGTGAGAAAGGAATATGTTCAATAAATTCATGTGAAAAGAACTATTTTCAGAAAAATGCGGATGAGAACTATAGGTAGTCTAATGTATCGCACCTGAACCCTCTTCTTCTTCAACAATAAATGATTCAAAGTCTGGAAACGGTTTTCCCTCCATTTGATTCTACAACACAAGCACATATCAGCTTTAATTTTCAAGGAATGATTTTCAATATATCAAGACCTTCACCATATACTGTCAACTGAAAATGATGAGATGGATAGATGGAGACAGACTTTCCAATTTCACGTTGTCAATCACACGTTTCTGTAGTATTCATATTCTGGTCAGTGGTCATAGTTGTAGTTTACCTTCTGTTTGATGGAGATTTGATTCTTATCTCTTTTAAATTGCTGCAGCTCCACAGGAGGATCAAAATGTTTGTTATTCTCCACGGTTTTGCGGATGGCTGGTGCTCCACAATTTGTCGCATCCTTCTGAACAGATTTCAGTGTAAAGGAGGATTTTGCCAACTGCTTTGGTGTGTGTCCCTGACTCTGTACAGGTATTTCCATTCTCAATTTGTGCCGATTTGGTTCTACATTATTGAACCTGGTGGTAGTGATCTCTCCAAGATCACGCCTTGGTGATTTATCAGCATAGGTTATATCAGTCTGCAAATTCTCATTAACTCCTCTGCAGCGACCAAAATCATTTAATGGTTCTTCTTCTACTTTTCCCATAATCTTTATGTCTACGGTAACTGGCTTACAACCATTAACAATGGCCTCAGTCTGTGGTTGTGAAACTGTCATCTTCTGATCTACTTCTATACAAGATGTGGTATTAAGATATATATTACCAGTGGGATTTATAACATCTACCCCGCTATCTTTGCTCACTTCTAGATTTTCCAGTATAGCAGGTAGAAATGAGAGCTCTGTATGAGATATGGGATTCATTGTTCTCTTTACTACTGTTGGATCTAGAAAATGTGGAAATCTTTCACAAAAAGGATAATCAGCTTGACACCTATTGCTATGAACATGTCCAAGCTCTTTCCGGTTTAGGTTATCTTGCATCTCTTCATATGCACGTTCAATATTGTCAATTTCATAACTCAATAGTCCAACATTACAATTGACTACAAAGGAAGTTTTAGACTTGATTTTCTCCAGTTTTTGGCTATCAAATGCCATGCCTGATAAAATACTAGATGGTATCATCTGGCTTCTGTTCAATTTGCCACCCAAAAAGCAAGCCTGCAAAAACAGTTGGATTGAAATCGTTGAAAATCAGGTTTGGTTTTAGGTTAGTAAACAGAATGAGACGCAAAATGAAAAACAAAGAGATTGGGTATCGTAAAGAATCAAACAGCTGCATAAAAGATAACATTTAGCTAAAGAAGTTTAGTTACACGAAAAAGAACGCTGAAGGCAGAGATACCCATGTAAAAGTCCTTGTGAATTACACAACCACGAGGAAGCTTCATTGGCATACAAGTTAGTAAAAGCCAACTTATGCAGTCCATCGGAGGCTCAAGCAAGTTGAGAAAAAATAGGATACCATGGTGCTCATCTAGACATTTAAATCGGGTTGTGCATATCACTTCATGGTCATAAAATGTGAAAGCTCGTGCTAAGAATTTCTACACCATTTAACCCTGCACGTGTTACCTACTTTCTTCTATTTTTCTTGCATAATGTAATAAGGAGATCATTGCAAGCTTTTATAATCCCTTGACCAACGTTTTACACTCTTCTCAAGTATTGAGATTCCTGCTTAGGCAAGACCTAATGTTCACAGAACAATCCTACTCTACTATGAATTAAAAAGTCTCTAAACACAGAGTTGAAGATTATATTTTAAATGATATACATTGAGCCAGATCTAACAACTTGAGCTTTTAGATGAAGTGGTTCATCTGTATGCAAAGTGGTTCAACTTTCAAGTATCACCGTCACCCATTTAAATGAATTGTGCACATGATAGGCTTTGGTGGGAAATAATGTACATGAACATGTTGAAGACAATACGTAAATACAATACATGTGGCCCTATCTACACTTTAAGCTTTTAGATTAAGTAGTTTAACACACCACAGTGACAAGGGATGTATGTAATATCATGTAATGGAAGAGGACCTCCAAATATCTCTCTTTCTCCATTGCTAGGACTTGTGCTACCAAGCTCTAACTTTATCTTCCTATTTCAACTTTGAGAAAGTACCTAATCATAGACTAATTGAGACAACTATTAGGCAATAACTAAACTGTCTTTAACTCTTTATACTCTTGCTAATGAGAAATTAAGTTGAGTACTGCCAAGAAGATATCCAACTATATATAGTGCCCGATAATCCAACAAGCATCGGAACAGCAGCAAATTTAACACATAAAAAGCCAAGACTTCAAAATTACCTCACTTGAAGGATTCCCAATATCATTAGACACTGTCGCCTTTTGACTCTTGTCCACTGCAAGAAAAAGAAACTCCAATCAAACTGAAATTGAAACTACCAACTCAAACACCGGAATAAATAAATAAATAAAATTACCTGATATTTCCGAAAAACGTCTCCTTTTTACCCCTGACAAATCCTCAACATCCGATATCAGCCTCTTCCTCCTCCTAAAATAAGTCCTCGCCATGTCATTCGGTCTAATATCTCTGAGCCTGATCCACCTCGGCACGAACTCCGAAATCAAATTCCAATTCGTACAAATCACATTAGCATTTGCGACAAATTGCACAATAGCAGCAAATCCAATCGGCGATATGGTGACAAGGTGATTGTGAGCTAAACTGATAGGAGAGTTAGGTATTGAGCAGAGGAATTGAATTTCACCCGAACTTGAATCAAAGAGCGTGCATTTAGAAGCGAGCTCAGCCGGCCGGGCCGGGAGCCTGTGGGCGAGTAAAACAGCAAAAATGTGCCACGCCTTATGTAAATCAGTGCTCGTGGTGAGTTGGCTCGTACTGAGTTGGAGGCTGAGTTCTGAATTCGCTCCCCGAGTCCCCATTACTACTTAGATCTGAAAATGTTGAACCACGAAGATTTATGTGTGAGAGAGAGAGCGAGCAAGCGAGGGTATGGCTTCTCGCGCGGGAAATGGTATTTGAGAAGGGTTTCAGAAATGAAAAGTGGCACGTGCGGAATTCCCGCCAAATTTGTGAAGAAAGTGAATGGGCCGTTGGTGGGCACTCATTTTGGGCTAGTAACACTGGATAGCTGAATGTTTGAAAATTGACATAAATAGCAGTGAATTTGGTCGTAAAACGTCTGCAGCACCGTTTTGTGCACTTCCGAAATTTTATTGCCACTTTTTTATGGGTGTCCGTCTCTCTAGAAAAAGGGAAATTGGAGTAAATAATCCCTAACCTATAGCCCATATGTGATTCAGTTCCTTTTTTTCATGGTTTATGTCAATTTAATCCTCAAAAGTTAATATTTTTTTATTTATTTTTAATCAAAAGACTACTTTGTATTTTAAAAGAATTGACTCATTAACAGTCAAATGGTAGACAAGGGTATAAAGGACCGCCTGCGCAAATAAACCATAGAATGAGGATGTCCGTGCTAAGAGAAGAACGTTAGAGGCCAAATCGCAAATAAAAATAGGTTGGCGAACCATTTGTGCCAATCCCCCCAAAGTAAAAGACAATGTTACTTTATGAAATTATCCTGAAACAAAATAATAATCTGAACTATGAGTTTTAAATAATTCTAGAAAATTATATTGCAGACAATTTTGCATGTGTGACGTTCTATATTCCAGTCCGGACATGACTTGGGAGTAAAAAATTTGAAACATGGTACATATGCAAAACTGTACATGTATCTTTTGTATTTCTATAAGCCAAAAAAAAAAAAAAGGGACTCATTTGCTTGTGGACTAATAATGCAGTTTTTTCCTAAAAAAACATATGTTAAAAGTTTCATGTGCCCTCAACTTATGTCTAGCACTACTCACGCTTTTATAAGCTAAAAAGAAATGAATGTATGAAAAGAAAATTAATTATAAAAAAAGAAAAACGTAATGAGACGCACCACTCTTCCTCCCTATCCTGACCCATTCTTGGGGGTGGCTATGGAGTCGAACGACCCGATGACCCTCTAGGCTCAACTCATGAAATTCAACCACCTCCTTCTCCTGACCCATTCATAGGAGTGGCAGTGGAGTCGGACGACCAGATGACGCTATAGGCTCAACTCATGAAATTCAACCACCTCCTTCTCCTGACCCATTCTTAGGAGTGGCTATGGAGTCGGACGACCCGATGACCCTATAGGCTCAACTCATGAAATTCAACCACCTCCTCTCCTAACCCATTATTAGGAGTGGCTATGGAGTCCGACCACCCTATAGACCCAGCTCATGAAATTCAATCATGACATGACACAACCAACTTCCTTAAACCTTGAGCTACGAAGGACTTGATGTCCTAGGCTCACTGGCGCTAAGGTATAGACAATGAAAAGGCCATATCGTTAAAATTTGCGTTCACCAAATCATGTATTTTTTTAATTTTTTTGGAAACGATTTTCCAACCCAAAAACCCTTCTTTAATCCCATCAATAACATCTAACAAAGTGATTGGATTCAAAACAAATTTAAAATTTGATAGACTATTTACAGTTGAGCGTCCCAATCGAGACTTCACTCAAACTTGGGTGATTTTCAATGAAATTTACAGTCTTTCATAAAATGGGGTCCGGGGTATTAATTAAACAACCATGTTACATATTCATCATGGTTGACAACAAGTTTGACACTTCTTCATGGCAGCAATCCGTAAATCATGATATGCGATCTAAACATGTTTTACAACCTAATCAACATATTTAAATTGAAAGCGAAAGCATAAAAAACTGAATCTATAGGCATACCTCCAACCATTGCTATTTCTGGTTTTCGGTTTCGAAAAAGGACTTTTAATCATTTCTCTTCTCTCACTGATGGTGTAACTTTAGTTTGAAAATAAAGAGTAGGCTTAGGGACCTTCCGAAAGGGGTTGCTCTACCTTTATAATGTCTTCATCCATCAAGAAGACGTTTTCTTTGAGCGAGGAAATTGGTGAACGGTTTCATAACCGTTGATGCAGTTACCCACGTTCAAAAAATTTGTGGAATATCATGGACCACATCTAAGAAAACTAACACAATCTACACTATTGATTTTAAATACATCCATTCCATCATGGAATAGATGTAATTAAAATCAATGATGTAAATTGCTACCATCTAGAAGAGTGTCGAACTTGATGTACATATAGCATGATTAATATTTTAATACATATTTGTTTGGCAGTACATGACAAGACTGGATAATATAACAAAATTTAACTTCTTTATCTCTGTTAGCAATGATATCCAATCAAACGTTCCATTAAACTGAAAAAAATATTCCTGTCTGCACAATTTCATCATGATACATCCTCATTTGAAACTAATGTAAAACCCTGTTTTCCTCTCCGTTATATTTTCAAACTGACGTAGATGTGTACAAAAAGTAGTGAAGGTAAAAAGAAGCATCAGTTGAATTCTAACGAAATTAAATGAAAACATTATATATCGGTCAAGATTAGCGATGACACAATGACCACATAAGCTATGAAGAAGAATATTGCTATCTGAAGGAAAAACTTAGGATTTTCCCTCACGTTAGGAGATGTAACAGACCTGTAAAACAGAAATTAGTCGCTTCATCAACCTTACACAGGATTAATGAGAGAGAAAGAGAGAAAGACTGAGGGAAATTTTTTCATCTGAGTCCAATGTGAAGCTCAAGGAGAAATTACCTAGCAATGCGTTGAGAAAGCCGATGGAAGGGCATACTTTGAATAAAGACAATACCAGGTCCAGTTAGAACAGCAGTCACCAAATTTTCACCCTGCATGAGAAGAAATAAAGTTAAAGTACAAGGCTTCAACGTTGACAGCACAAATCGAAATTGCCAAAAACAAATGCAAATAATTACTGATTAATTAGGCATGAAACTTTGGGAATTAAAAGTTCATGGGATGAAATCTTGTGCTTTGTGTGTCAGAACGATTTTAAATACGGTCTAAGTTTTGCCGGGAACAAGCCAGTCAAAGATTTGTAAATATGGCAAAACAACTTGAGTTTTACTCTGCTATAAGAGCACACATGCATAAAAAGCTAAGTCAGCCACTATGTTATCAATTAGCTATGATTGTTGGATGGATTCTACAAAGCAAGTGTTATTAGAAAAGCTAGTGAATTAAAGTTATGTTCGTCTAAAATTATTAGTAACTTTTTAGGAGAAACAGTAATGGATCCGACGAAATGTATGAATAATAAATAGGTAGTATTTATGAATATGCGGGTGAAATTAATGTTAAGTGTTTGACCGGATAGAAAAAGGAAATTATTAGTAACTTTTTAGTAAACACAAATAGATGTTATGTATATTTGTACCACAAACAGAGACAATTTAAGCTCTGTTTGGTTCAGTTAAAAAAGTTGATAATAATTTAAGTTAAAGTCAAAAATTAATTTTAACCACACATTTTATATGACGCACAACTTTTATCAACTTTTCAACCATACATTTCATTAACTTCTATCAAATCTACTAAAAATATGATTTACAAAACGAAACATAGGCGAAATTTAATTATAGTGCAGAAAGTTCGTATTGGAACGCTGACACAAATGACTATTTTTCAACCAAACATGCAACTTGATATAATGCCAATGTAAATAAATCTTGCAAGAACAAAAATATGTATGTAAAATTGTAGCCGTCTGCACAAAGCAAAAGGAGAGGCAGCACAAAATCCACACTATAGTTAAACCACACCTCTCTCAAATTTTTCCGTAGTCCAACAACATTATGAAACCAAAGATATAATCTATTAACTAAGATAAATACTCAGATGTCATTATAATGTAAAAGAAAAGAGTAGCCTTATTTAACAAATTTCTAAGAAAAAACTAAAGAACTACCATAAAGAGAGACAAGAAAAAGAGTAGGATGCCAAACTGAGACTAAATAAACATTTTAACATAACAAAAAGAAAAGTTGGTATAATCCAAGTTAAAGGTCTGCTATACCAAACACTATATGGAGCTCTCTGCTACCCTCAGCTAACTTATTTTAGAGACCTTATTGGAATACTCACAGACATCTTAATGAAAAACAAGGACGATTTAATGCATTTCTCCAATTCTCTTCCCCTTATTATCAGTTTAAGTCACAAGACCTCCCTGAACGTAGAATTATTTTCTAATTGAGTGGTCAGAAGCAAGCACCATATGAATCTCTAATAATGTACACAGAAGCTCATGCATAGCTGTGCTCTATATCTATAGATTTTTCAAACTCCAGCTATCGTCTCAAAGCAGCCTGTTTGATCCTTTTTTGTTTTACCTTATCTTCCATTCTCTTATATGTAAAGTACTACAGCATTTGCTAACCTTCGAGAGTTAAGAGTTAAAAACATGGAAGAGAAACAATCTATATTCCTTTCCCCTTGCTGAAGAGAAACTTGTAATCCCTTTTCCCTCTACTCTACTTCTTTTCTATCTCCTCTTTCTTTTTTATGGTTAACTCAGGCGTATGAAGAGAACTCTGCACTGAAATCTTGATTTATGACTTCCAAGAGAGGACACCCTCAGTTCCAGAAGCCCACTTTTGGACAAGTGGTTCTTCTTCCAGGAATATGAAATTTTAAAAAAAATGCAGATATGGAGAATATATGTGCCCAAACAGAAAAGTACTCATTGCAGTCTGGCTGCAACCCAGAAAAGGGAACCTGGTGAAGCGCGCAGTTTTGAGACAGGGAAAGCATGATTTAACTTGGTACTCCAACTGCTTATTCTATAGAGATTCCTTCCTGAGGACTCTTCAATATGGTATGGATATACTCCTATAACCATCTTTATTTCTAAAAGAGATGAAATCCTCAATTTTGGTATAAATCCCTTGATAGCAATATTTTTCTCCTAGTTTGTCTCAAAAAGGGATAAATCAGCACTGATATCCAGAATTATTTTATCTTAGATCTAAAATAAAACCCAAAACCTAGATCACAAGACACAAATTCAACATCTATTTGATACAAAGTGTTAGCAATTGCATAATACATTTGCAGAGGAACTATTCATGACCTAGTGCAAACATAATTTAGAAAATTTAACTCTAAATTAAAACAAGAGATATGTTTCCTGAAATAATTATGAAGTCATAAGTAACAAATGATTCTAGTAACTTCAAAAGAGTTAAATGCGTCAATTATATCTGGCAAAGTAAAAGAGAAGAAGGAGGACTCACCCCAAACACCACTCTTCTCATGGGACCATTATATTTGATCTGTACATTGACTGATGCTGGCAAGGCAACAATGCTTGACACATCAACAGAGAGTACTTCACCCACACCAAGATTTTTCTGAACAACTGGGAAAATAAGCAAACACGTGAATATGCCAGAATGATAAAACATAGCAAGGACTTCTCCAACCCCATATTCTAATACCTAACTGGTCCAAAGGATCCTCATTTCACAGAAAAATTGAGGATTTAAAAACATTTTACATTATGAACTTATTTACGTATCGAGAAAGAACTCCAGGGCAAACACCAAAAACACAAACCTAAAATGCAAGCTCATAATATGCAAGGTTGTATCAACTATAGGAATCGTGAATGTGGTCCCTGTAAAATTTCCTGAATCAACAAAGTGTGAAATTATGTATGATGTTCCTAAAAATAATGTCAACAATGAATCTACTTGCAATTCACCTAAAATATAATAACTCATATTTGCAAAATTACTCATATTACCCTTGAGATAAGTGTCAGATTTTAATGAAATTTTTAAGAGTAAAAGCTATATTCCAGTACACTGGTTATACAAGCAATTTGAAAGACATTCTAAAGAGATGAGTAAGGGACCTATTTGAGATGCTGGTTTCCTCATAAGACTAACCTTTACATAGAGTTTTCTTTACTATCTACAAACAACTAGTTGCAATTAACTCCATAAATAGCAATGGCTTATGCAACATTTAGTCAAATCTAGCTATATTTGTTTATGCCCTTCTTATGCATTTTAGTATGCCACCACCTGTCTTCTAAACATCCTCATTTTTATTGTGGTCATCGACATTTTGTTCTTTAGTATTATGTTAACAAAATTTAAATTTATAAATTATCATCAAATTAGATTTTGAGTTTTAGATGAAAAACATATACTATCAGGCATTGTGTAAAAAATTATTTTCAAGCCACAATAATACACATTAATCTGATCAAGCCTTTGATATCGTAAGTTCAAAAAAGTTCTACAGTTAAACTACTTAACATTCTATAATTGAATTTCTCAAGTGCGTTCCTTTTTATGATGAATTACTTAGTGTGATAGATAACATTCAGGGATTACCTGTTCCGGAAACCAAACGGTCCAAACTTTACTGTAAATACAAAGGAAGAAAAAATTTCATAGTAATTCAATAAATCATATTGCAATGGAACCTTGAGGGGTTGTTCGATTGGTCAGGCATTGGGTTTGCTCCCCAATGGTCACCAATTTGAACCCCCTCGGGGCCACTGAGGTGAGTACCAAGCCGTAAACTTCAGGGCCCCGTGGAATTAATCGAGGTGCGCGCAAATTGATCCGGACATCCACCCACAGTTATCCAAAAAAAAATATATATTGCAGTGGATCTGAGTAGAAGCTATGTAGATATTCTCTACACATACATTTACTCTTAATATATCTAATTCGAGAAGGAAAAATATGATAAAAAAAGTAAGTAGTAAAGTAAAGGGAAGAAACAGCAGCCACTTAATTTTTGTCATCTATACTATACAGACAAACAAAATAAACAAGAAAAACTAATATAATTTTTTGAATTTCCTTCAATTTGTTCGTGTTAATGACATTCTTTTTGAGAGGAAAAAGAATTTAATTATTTTGGATTTTCTTTCTTTTATTCATATTAGTGACATTCTATTCGAGAGGACCTCAACTCACAATGCATGCACTCTGTCACTAAATATAAGAAAAAATTTCCGGAAGATAACATGCAAGGTTACATCATCTTAATGTCAAAGTCATGTGCTCTACTGAAAAGCCCAAAAGTGTGTTATAGTTAAAAGGAATTTAAAAAACATACCAGAACCACCCCCAACTACAAATGCAAGTCCTTGACCGGATATCTTCTGCCTCAAAAATCCCTGCAGATATAATTGACTTAACAATCAACTATGCCTCACTTTTACGAACATATTCATGATTTTCTACAAGGTAAAGGACAAAAGGCTAGAAATTTTGTCATCTCACCTCAGCACTTGCAATAGCATTACGTGCCCTCTGATCAACTGTATTATTGATTTTGACATCATTAATTGAACAAAGAAATGCATTCCTGGCACAACATTTCACCACCAAATATTGCCAAGTCAATCTGCACAATAAATGCAGATCAATAACATAAAATAGGAAACAGTTAACAAGATATATATAATCAAACTTCCGGGTGAAACGATATTCAATAATGATACAAACCGGGATAATTCTTGCTAGAGAAGGAGCAGCAATCCCAACAAATCCATCAGCTGAACCTTTATTTTGGAGAACTATGCTAGTCACACTTTTCCCGAAAAGCCACTGCAATACACCTGCTTCATTTTCAGGTGCATAAACATTGTCCATTTGGACAGACCCAGACATGTAGCACATGGTACCTGTAAAACAACCAGACATAAAAAGCACACAGCAGTGCCAGTGGTAAATATAAAAATAATCAAGAGAAGTACAAAGCGGAATAACAGATGTAGGTAACCACCGAAAATTAAGCGAACACATTACTTAACTCGCCTAAAAGCTTATTCATCCTTTAAATTACAAATTCAACAGAGCTTGGATTAGACAAGCTTCCTGAATAAGACAAAGTACAGAGATTCTTTCTTCAGCTGGTGTAGTTTATGATCATAAGATTGATCCGCTTTCAAGGATAATTTTATAAGTTAAGATTCCATCCACCCCTATTTCACTATCAGCTTTTGATTTACAGAATGTTCAAAATGTTGTGGTAGTAGAAAAAGGTATGATAACTGTCATGCTAATATTCCATATTTTTTAAATAATTTTAAAAGTTAAAATGGAAATGTATTTATCTCAAATGGATTATAATGACATGCCATTCTAACAGACACCTAATAAATTTCTCATAAACGATTGAACACTTGTATAGAAGACTCAAAAATTGGGGCAAACAGAGTTGAACCACTTGATCAAGAAGTTTAAGCGGTTATAAAGGGCCAAGCGTATATCATTTAAGTATTATCTTCAACATGTACATGATTAATTTTTTTCCAAACAAAGCCTAACACGTGAACAATTTCAAATTTGTGAACTTGACATCTTGTATCCAAGGTGATCCAAGTTCTTAATTTGTCATCTTCTCTACTTCTTACTTTTCTATGGACAGAGCAGTATATTGAGGTTTTATTTTAATTGAATAGAGCCCATCTCTTATTTCTATTTTTTTGTAAACAAGTGAACGAGCTGATCTGTTATGGTTGTGGAAAGAAAGAAATCCAAAATGAAACTTAGTCACTCTGACTTGTCATAAAAATCAAGACAAAGATTCACTCACATCCTCAAAATAGGGAAGCTGAGCACAAACAAACATGTACTCTAAGCAGATTCATTCATCCCATTCCCTCACACCTAATATTTAAATTCACGAGCTACAATACAGATCCATAGCACCGCATAAACTAGATATGCTGAATCCAGTATGCAATAGCCATTTTGAGTTGGTAAATCTTGAATAGTTTAAATGGCCTTCACCTGCTCATAGTATTCATTGCCAAAAGAAATAAGTATGTTCAAACACAGAGTTAAATCTAGAAATTTTGGAGAATTGAAACTAATAGGGAATCAAAAGATGAAATCAAGAAAAAAAACTTCAATCATTCAGTGTGAATAGAANATTAGACAAGCTTCCTGAATAAGACAAAGTACAGAGATTCTTTCTTCAGCTGGTGTAGTTTATGATCATAAGATTGATCCGCTTTCAAGGATAATTTTATAAGTTAAGATTCCATCCACCCCTATTTCACTATCAGCTTTTGATTTACAGAATGTTCAAAATGTTGTGGTAGTAGAAAAAGGTATGATAACTGTCATGCTAATATTCCATATTTTTTAAATAATTTTAAAAGTTAAAATGGAAATGTATTTATCTCAAATGGATTATAATGACATGCCATTCTAACAGACACCTAATAAATTTCTCATAAACGATTGAACACTTGTATAGAAGACTCAAAAATTGGGGCAAACAGAGTTGAACCACTTGATCAAGAAGTTTAAGCGGTTATAAAGGGCCAAGCGTATATCATTTAAGTATTATCTTCAACATGTACATGATTAATTTTTTTCCAAACAAAGCCTAACACGTGAACAATTTCAAATTTGTGAACTTGACATCTTGTATCCAAGGTGATCCAAGTTCTTAATTTGTCATCTTCTCTACTTCTTACTTTTCTATGGACAGAGCAGTATATTGAGGTTTTATTTTAATTGAATAGAGCCCATCTCTTATTTCTATTTTTTGTAAACAAGTGAACGAGCTGATCTGTTATGGTCATGGAAAGAAAGAAATCCAAAATGAAACTTAGTCACTCTGACTTGTCATAAAAATCAAGACACAGATTCACTCACATCCTCAAAATAGGGAAGCTAAGCACAAATAAACATGTACTCTAAGCAGATTCATTCATCCCATTCCCTCACACCTAATATTTAAATTCACGAGCTACAATTCAGATCCATAGCACCGTATCAACTAGATATGCTGAATCAAGTATGCAATAGCCATTTTGAGTTGGGAAATCTTGAATAGTTTAAATGGCCTTCACCTGCTCATAGTATTCATTGCCAAAAGAAACAAGTACGTCCAAACACAGTTAAATCTAGAAATTTTGGAGAAGTGAAACTAATAAGGAATCAAAAGATGAAATCAAGGGAAAGCTTCAATCATACAGTGTGAATAGAACATGGATGCATGTTAGGAAACAAATAGATAGTATCGTACCAGGCTTAGCAATCACCTTCTCTTGAGGCTTCAACAATATCTAATGATAAGTGGTCTTCAATCATTCAGTGTGAATAGAACATGGTTGCATGTTAGGAAACAAATAGATAGTAACGTACCAGGCTTTGCAATCACCTTCTCTTGAGGCTTCAACATTATCTAATGAAAAGTGGAAAAATGATCAATTAGACAGAAAAAAGAACTTCATCCAGCAACAAGAAATAATTATTCAAAACTACCTGAACTATCTGAGCTTCACCACCCAAAATCTGAAAAGGTGTAACAGCATCTTGTGGGCTCTATAAAACAATTTCCATATTCAATTACAAGCGACTCCAGAAAAGAAAAAGAAACTGGTCGTGGAGATGATTACCGAATTAAGGTAGAAATAAACAAACCAATGCTGCTTTGTTAAAATCCATACTAACCAAAATGGTTTTAATATATTCCTATCTTACATGTTAAGCAGGTTAAGGCGCTACTACTCTAACATTAAGCGGTTTATAAGGCAAAACATTTGAACTGCTCTCTAGGTGCCCTTTAAAGGACGAAACAACTTGAAGTTTGTAGATTTATGGATCTAATTTCAGGAGAAGTATCCTCTTACCTTTTTTTTGGAGTTTCTACTAGAACTCCAAATAATGTTGGTGATACAATTGTATGCATCTCTCTCATTTTTGCATAAAATTAGACAATACTGCTCAATTTTACAATTGTTGAACAACCACGATAGACACTCAGTAACAGTAGCAACTAGCACGACCTATTGTCAATCCTTGATTTTTATTATGAATGTTATAATGAGATATTATAGCAAATTACAATTAGTCAATTACTTAATGGCCCAAAATAACTATCTCTTAAACTTAATAAGTTCAATTTATTATTGAATAAGAATTTCATTTACAAGTCTCCTTCCTTTCTTCTTTTTCCTCTTCACATCATTTAGAGTTACGACAATAGTGCTGAACCAGTTGTTATAGCTGTTTGATCTTATGTTTAATCAAGCTGATAAATTCTTTTGCCGAACAGATAACATAACTGCTTCATTTGTCATTTGCCTTGGTTAGGCTATTTCTTTTATGTTTCTTGTCCTCTCAGGTGGATTCATTGTATAGCAATTGGAGAAGGTCGTTACAACTTTTTCCATACAAAGGCATCAGAGGAGTAAACATATACATTCAGAGCCTTTTCTTTTATCTGTTTCTAGACTAGGCCTGAACTTCGCTTCATGCATAGTTTGCAAGTACAGATTACAAGGAAAAAAATCAGACATTCATGGTAATCACGAGCAAGAATGACAATCATATTAGAAAATCCAAAATTCAGGCACATGAGCGAAAAAAGAAAAAGAAAAAGTAGAACAGTTAAAAAAGTTAAAAGTTCAGGCACACAATCATCACAGCCCATAAACCTAGAGCATTTACAAGCTCTCATCAAAGTTCAAACACAATGAAAATTTAAAAAAAAAAAAATTTGATTCTTTCCATCCTGACCAGAAAACAGTAAATTCATTTCACCGCTTTCAATTTTACCACACATTTGATCCACATATTTTGAATTCACAGGGGACAACAATTGTTGACTACAAACAAAATACAAATCCAAAATCTAAAACCCTAGATTCAGTATTATATGTATCGATTACCTGATAAACAAAAGGTTGAAAAGGCGTAGAAAAGAACGGAGCGGCCATACCGAAAGAGAGAAATCTTAGCTCAGACTGCTTGGCTGATCGCAGAATGATCAAATAACCATTTTTACGTAATTGGGTTTTTCTTCAATGTGATCTAATTGGGAAACTACAGTTTGGGTCCTAAATCTATTGGATATATAGCAAGTTCCTCAACCATTAATTTGGCGATTCAAGTCCCCAACTTTTTATTTTATAGCACTCAATCAAAATAAAAATAAAAATACATGTAATTTAATTTAATTTATTGGAAGATGGGTGACTATGGAAGGCTAGTAGAATTTAATTTATTCTTTTATTTTTGTTCGTATTTATTTAGTCCATGTTTGGTTTAGTTAAAAGTTACATTTTTAATAAATTTTTATAAAAGTTAATGAANTATTATTAGACTATTTCAGGTTCTTGCATATTTATTTGATCGTGAGTAAGGCTTAAAATTGAAATTTTGTCACTTTCTAGTTGAAATTTTTTTACATATTTATTGATCGTGAGTAAGGGTTAAAGTTGAAATTCGGGCAGCTATCAGGTGGGCAAAAAACATTTGTTTACATATGAGAGAATATGTATAATTCTGTGTTAAATTGCAGAAGATGAAGGTTGGTATATATAGTGGAATGGGGGAGAAAAAAATATTTGCAGCTTGTCTTTTGGAAGCCATTATTAGATGGATCCGTATCTTAATTCTTTTTTTTTTTTTCCAATTTGCTAATTAAAATTTTTTTGGGTAAGACGGACAAAATTGATCATGAGTTATCTGGCTTCTTGAGTATATGAATGTTTCTTCATTTTGCTAGTTCTGTGAGTTTTGTGACAAAATTTGATATTTCTTGAGTCTGTGACAAAATTAAATCGTTTATTCATTTTGCTAGTTGAAAAGGGACATTATTATGTTTTTTTGGATCTTATATTTATTTTAGTGGACTTGTATTGTATCTTTATCATAAAATATTATCCTAAAACGTCAAAAGGGTGAAAAAAAACTATACTTTAATTTATTGTGATTTTACTTTTAGTTTGTTGTTATTTAAATTTATAGTAAATATATTTAGTTTGTTTTAGATTTATTTCTAGTAAGATATAAATATATATTGAATTAACGGCAATAAAGTAGATACTAGACAGGAAAAAAATATACGCGAAATCGGCGGTTTAAAACCGGACCAAATCGTTAGGTTTAGATTTGAGTTTTTTTCAAACCGGTCAAAACGGTTTGGTTTGAAAATTTGTCAAAAACCACAAAAATCGGACCACTTACACCCCTAGTTGTGGGGATTCAAATATTACAAAAATAAAAAAAGGTTAGGGACTGAGTCAAAAATATTAGATTGAAGACCTACTTGTTGAATGTTCAATAGGGTAGGAACCCCAGATGCAATTTTTTCTTTTAAGACAGTGGCAATTTGTCAATCAATGATGTGGCGATGTGCCATTGGACAGAGACCCTCTGAATACGTGGAGTCTGGAATTAACCCATTTTCATTTTTATTTTTTTAAGAAAATGGTTGCAATATCTTGTTTAACATATTTTAAAAGAATAATGGCATTCATGCCAATTGGATTGAGTACCAATTTAGGTGACAACACTTTATAATTTTAATTAAATGAGTCATGTGATTTTATATTTAAATAAATCTATTATTTAATGTTACGTAATTGTCATTTAAACTAAACGAGTGTTTAATTTTAGTGGGATAAATAGCATTACTTATATTTTAATAGAAAATTGGTACAAAACACTTCGAACATTTGCCTCTATTATAGAATACACGTTGTACTTTCATTTTGGTTGAAAATCCCCTTTATGACATTTTCTTTGTGAAATACAACATTTTCTTCCATTTTCTCATTAAAATATTTTGAAACAATGAATATATTCTCCTCTTTAAATAAAATAAAAAGAAAAGAAGAAAAAAAATTAATTAATTGCAACTATGGTGTCAAAATTTTAAAAAATGTAAACGAGTTCCAAATAAATAATTAAAAAATTAAATGAACGTGTAAGTTAGTTTTCATATATTTATTTAAAAAACAAAATAAAATAAATAAGAATTTAACTATATTTTATTTTTTTATATATAATATTATCGACATATAAGTTAGTTTTTATTTTCTGTTTCATCTTCAAAGAACTTACTGTAATCAGTGTGTGTGTGTGTGTGTGTGTGAGTGAGTGTAAATCAATGGATGACGGAGAAACTATTTATGTTACTGACCCAAACTTCTTCTTCTTTTTTTTTTTTTCTTTTTTTACCAAAGAACTATTGATAATCTTCATAATAAAATTGATGATATTGACGTTGTTCATCTGATTTACATATATATATATTGATTACAATAAATTCATTGAAAATGAAATAGAAGATAAAAATTTACTTAGACATCGATAATATTATAAATAAAAGAAATTAAAGTGAAAAAATTATTTATTTAATTTTTTTGAAACAAAATATAAAAACTACATCCATTTAATTTTTTAATTATTTAGTTGGGATTCATTTAAATTTTTCTAAAGAATTTAGGACTATAATTACAATTAATTCTTTATTTTTTGTTTTTTTGTTTTTAATGAGAATGGTATATTCACCATTTCATAAGCCTTTATTGAAAAAATAAAAGAAAATGTCATATAGGCGGCGTTTTCGCCAAAATGAAAGAATAATAGGGTATTCCCAATAGAGTCAAATGTTAAGGGTATTTTGTGCCAATTACCTTATTTTAATGGTCAAATAGTAGTGGTAAATCATTTCATATGTTACAAAAATGGTAGGTTGAGACATATAAACGATATAAATTATAAATAATTACAAACAAACATGATTCCAAATCGAGTTATCACACACGATTTACTGTAAAATTATGATCAACAATTTTTTTTCACTTAACCAGAATTTTCTCCTCCTAATCTCACCATACTTAATGCTCAGTTAGGAGCAATAAGAGAAAATACTATTTGAGAAGGAGATATTTAAATTTTTGGCATCCTTATTTACTTTTAGACAGGACCATTTATAGATTTCTTTTGAAATTTTGGGAAAAATATTTGTCTTTTCGATTAGCGACGAGTGACAATCATTCAATGGTGAATTTCGTGTTCACGTTTTATTCACCAATTTACGTGTTCTTCATTTATTGATTTAAGTCATGCTATGAACCTCTTTTAACTTGTTCCTTGCAACGGTTTCTACTAATGCGAAATATTATGGAAATAGTTCGCCACTTTGGTTGCAAGCTCTTGTACCATGAATACTCGCGCACATATTATTCTCAAGTAGGTTAGTTTGAGTTTGCCTACTATTCCTTGGTATTTATTCGTTGTTTAACATACGCCAATCCAAAATTCATTAAGACTACACAAAACTATAACTTACCCCGAAAGCTCTACACACTATTGTCTTTCTATTAAGAGGAGATCTCTGCATCACACTGGAAGAGAATGAGTTTTCCTTTTTATTTTCAAACAGCATGGATAGGGCTGTGGCTCGAGTTCATGCATGAACTTCTCGAAGCATGGAAGGCAGATGGCCTTGTGGAGCCTTCAACCAATTTTAGAGAGAGGGTAGATTTTCTCGCATCACCAAGGGATTCTCCTAAGCTTAGTTTTGACATGCCTATCAGCTCACCCACATTAATTAGGCTCTTTGAATGAACAGCTGTCGGCTTGAGCACTTCATGGGTTTCTTCCTTCACTGCCTCCACACTGTAGCCAGGCAAAAAGGGAAAGGACATCGGAAAATATGGAGTGACATAAGCTGGGCATACAACTGAGTAAGAGTATTTTGAGCCCACTGGCGTAGGAAGCATGGCTTCACCATCATTGGAGTTTGCATATTCCATTGATTCACATTCTTCATCTGCAGCAGGAGGAGGTAGGTAGGTGCTGTTTTGCGTCTCGGCCTGTGGGGGCACTCCAGTAGTATCTTCTGATACCACTGGAGTGTCCACCGACTACAAAAAATAGAAGGCACGGGAACGTGAGATGGAAATCAGATAAGCTTTTCTACCTTCATAGAAATGGTAACTTCTATATAGTAAAAGTGTGTACTGGTTAATGACTAAAGCTGCTCACAAACATATAGATTACCTTCAGTAAAACTATGTTGTGTCGAATGTCTCAAGTATAGTAATTAATTAACGCAAGGAAAAAGAGAGCGCTTACTTCATCTGCCACAATGTCAAAGAGGCTGGCGCGTCTTTTTCTTCTAGACACATTAAATTGCCTGACAAAATATTTCTGGGCATGGCTAGCCACCTGCGTAGGTGTTCTAGAGAGAACATAATTCCGCGCAATTCCTCGCCAATCACCTTTGCCAAGCTTTTGCAAACCAAGCAAAAACATCCTATGTTCCTCTTCAGTCCATGGAATGCCTGAAAATAAAATCATCGGCTTTCAAACACTGATGCATGGCATGTCAAACAAGTGATGCACAAAAAGCAATTTTACAGGCATGTTTAATAACATATATTCAATATCCAAAACATAAGCTTCAAAATACATCAAAAGTAATATGATGTCATCACGGGTAAAATTTACAGTATTTAACTGATGTCAAAATTTTCAACCAAAAGCACTAGTAAGACAGCCAATTTTCAGCAACAATAAGCAAGCAAATAATAAATCTTCATGTGTCAACCCATTGTTAGTCTGCTGACATTTATTGTACAAGATTTTCAGTTATACAAACAAAATAAATTAAGGTCCTGTAAGCTCATTTCTCATTAGTATGCCTCCACCATCTGTCTCCCAAGTTCCTATTCCTTTGGTTAAATCAAAACCACGGAAGTTACAGAAATAAAATTCAGGTACTGTACGTAAAATTCATAAAAACCTCGAAGGCATTTAGCAAAAGATTCACGCCACTAACTTCAGTTAGTCAATGGATGCATCTCTATATAAATATTTTCAGTTTAAACCTCAGAAAGCAATATTCAAACAAACCATTCAAAAGAGTTGGTGTGTGCACGAATATATGTGCCTGTGTCCATCGCCTCTTGAATCTCTATCCATACAGATCAGATAACCTCCTCATAATCGACATTATATAATGACCAAACTACAGGCCCATTTTCTAGTTTCCTTGACGAAAAGAAAAGGTCCTCTGTCCAGTGTCAATATGACCAAAAACTCCTAAATTGATCATATAACTTTTCACATAAACCTTTCACTCTTTTGAGCTTTCTTTCCATCTCCCTGTAATCAAAAGTAGATGCAGGATCTGCAGATATAAGTGCAATACAATATGCACATGTCAATCGACTGGAAATTGCAATAGTTCATTCAAGCAGTTTTATTCATTAATTCATCAATGTCAACGAAATGTCAATTTCAACACATCCAAATACACTTTAAAAATGGCTACTTACCAGAAAATGTTTGCACACACATCTAGAACAGCATACGGATTGAGATATGCAAATGATGAACTATTAAAAAGTAAAACATGTATATCCCAGTAAAAAGTTTCTCATCTTATTTCTCCAAGGAAAAAAAAACATTTATAAAGGAGAAGCCAAAACACACGGAAACAAGTACGATAAAATGCATTCATGAATACCTTTTCGTGCATAAACAATTTCTTCAAAGATTTACCATTTTTTGTGTTGAAACAATTTAATCCAAACTTCGATTAATAACTTTTATTATCCCACATACCCCAAAAAATAGTTCCACGTAATCGCATATGTATATCTAGAAACGGTTGCATACATGCTAACATAAACAGAATTAAGGAAAAAAGACTTCGAAATTAACCTTTCTTCCTTTCTCGGCTGGAAGATGACCCAGCAACGAAGTCCTCGGAGGCATAGCCATCGGCAGCACCGGAGGCATGATCGTGGGTTTCGGACAGAGAATCATGAGCCACTCCATTTTGGGGAGTCCCAGTTCCTCCATTCATATAATGGGTCAAGTTCCCCATACTGGCGCTCTTTCTGATGGAGCCATCAGTCAATCGGACACCAAACAGCTTCACCCCTCGATTCGGACAGGTCCGAGAATTGTGCCCGTTGTGGCTGCAATGCGAACACCTCCTCGTCATTCTCGTAAAAACAACAAAAAATAAACAAGAAAAGACAGTTTGGACTGAATTGGATATGGTCTAATGAGTTTCTTTACATGATTTAAAAATAGAATTATTGTTGGGATTTTTTTGTGGGATAGAATTGTTGATTGAACTGAGGTGATGTATAGATTCTCATACAGAGAGACGGGAGCATGGAGAGAGAAGAGAAGGGGCACAAGAAAATGTGGATGAAGCAGTGGCGTGATAAATAATATAATATGCTTTTCAAAAAGGTAGAACTGTCGAAGCCCAGAGCGTTGTGAATGAGGTAAATTCCATGATGTAATTCAACAAATTAGGGTACAAAAACTATCATATTGATAATATAATATGCTTTTGGATTGTATGCGTGGAAGCTAAAGAGTAGGGATTGCAAAAAAAAAAAAACTCCGACAAACTTCATACTCGCGGGCTCGTTTCGATCGGGGCAGGAATTATCAGCTTAATCTAGTATTTGGGTCGAGAACGAGTAATGTATACCCCGCCCTATTTAATATATATATATATAATATTTTAAATGAAAAAATTCACGAAATTTCATTAGTTTAATAAAAAATGACAACTCGGATTATATAAAAAAATATGACAAATAATAAAAACTTTAGTTTACCAAATATATTTGAATAATTTAAGTTTTAAAAATAAATTAAAAATAAAAAAATATATTATTATTTCACTTTAATGAATGAAAAAAAAAATCGGATAGTAAACGAGACAAGGGTCCCTCCCCACCTTAAACGAGTAATAGGGCTGGGGACGAGGGAGGCCGCCCCATTGTCATCTCTACTAAAGAGCAGAGGGGATAAAATGTGGACATGACGCATGTTTTCTAAATTTATTTTTTTACAATCTCATTTTTAATTATGCATTTTCTTCATAAAGTAATTTTAACCCTATTTGATAGTCATAATTTCAAAACTCTTTAATTCGCATTCTCATTTCTAATCATATATTTATATAATAAAATATTTTGCACGTAAATTCAAATTTTTTCCTATATTTTGACTATACATTCTTCAAAAAATCAGTATTCAAAATTCGATTTTCTGAAAATAATGACTATCAAACAGATGATTAGTATGTAAATTCAAATAAAAAAATTACATTTTTTAATGATGCATTTTCCATATAAAATCACTTTTTAATTTATCACTTTTTATAAAATTTATTTCATAAAAAATGAGACTCAAATAAGGGCTAATATGTTGTCGGCATATCGAGTTAGTTAAAAATTAGATCCGATCTAGTTCGCCCGATTTGGGGTCGATTCATGAATTGGTTATCGTTAAAGTTGGGTGATGTTAGACATGCTTTGTGTTTATTAGGAAGAGATTATTTTTAGTGAGAAATGATTTTTTCTGAAAACATATAGTCACAAAGTAAGTAAAAGTAATAGGTCCATATGCAAAATTATTTTATTGAGAGAATATACGATTTAAAAATAAATTTAAGAAAAAAATATTTTCAAATAAGTTGTGACAAACAAATGCTTAAACTATTACGATGCATAAATTACTATTAGTAAAGTCTACTTGTAAATCGTTTATTATATTTTTAAATTCTACGTGGAAATAGTTTATTATATTTCACAAAAAATAAAAGGATTTAATTTTTTTATTATTATTCTTTATAGCTCTAGTAATGGGAATAGGGATAACAATTCGAATTGTTAAAATCGAAAACCATGGTTAACCGAACTGAATGGGGCGAAAAAAATCGAACCGATGGTGCAATGAGGTGGTTATGGATTTGATTTTAATGACCCGATTCAATTCAGGACAGGGCGGGGCAGGCGGGGCGGGTATGGTATTTAACGACGGTGCCCAACCCCGAACCGATCACTTGTTAAAAAAAAATAATTGGGCAATTAAGTTTTCCATTATTATTCCCTAAAATTAATTGAGCAATTTTGACAATTGGGCTTCCCCAAAATTCTGGCCCAATTAACATTACAAAACACTTTTCCACTTTTTATACCCTATTTTGTTCTTTCACAGTTTCCCTAAATCTCATTTTTTAGCAATCAGATGTCTTGCCATGGATCATCTCCGTAATCTTTTAATCCATTCTACGTAATTTCAACGTAATCTTTTAATCAATTATGTGATCATCTGCGTGCTTTTCTTTCCCTCCTTTTCCAAACTGTAAATTATCTTTATACATTTATGGTTCCATGTATGATATTCTTGAGTTATTTCCCAAAATTGATGAGGTACCTCGATGCAATAATTATGCATTTACTGATCAAAGTTCTAATATACAGATCACTTGAGATGTTATTTTTTGTTGCCAAAAGGTAGAAAATCAACGAAACATTTCCTGTTATTGGCATTGGATTCCTGTTTGGGAAATGAAGTAGACAAAATGATGTTTCTGAATAAATTTTTCCAAGAGGGATCAGGTTTTGATAATGTAATTTCATTGCTTGTATAGGGTCTCTACTTTTGAGTATTGAGTAAAACAGCGAGATATACTGGTATCATTAGGTTCCCTGTTTGAAGGAAAAATTAGCAGCATCTCTAGGATAAATAGAAATAGAACTTACAAAATAATGGATTAAATGTCTCTCATGCTTATCTTTATATGTATTCATCTTATTGACTTTTTGTATATACAATTGTAATGCAACTTGTATATTTTTTCCGTACTCATTGTTCATTTCATTTTCCTTTTATGTGGGTTTCTTGTAGGAAGATTGAATATGACTTTATTCCTGTATTTGCATTTATCAATTGTCATAATATGCGTCAATAATTTTGAACACAATGCCCAAGGAGAAGTGTGTCACTCTACTTGAAGGGTTAAATTCATAATAGTAAATTTCCATATGGCACACGTATCAGCAACATTTGTGTTTTTAAAAAATGCAAAGTGTCTATAAACTAGCTTTTGTGTTTTTTACGGTTGGAGTTTGGACTTATAAAAAATAATTTATTTTCGTGGTTATTAACCGAATCGAATTGAGATACGAACCGAACCAACTTACTCAGTTATGGTATGGCCAAAAAGTTGGTGGTGCGATTATGGTTTTAATCGAACCGACCTCGTACCAAACCGTTGCCATCCCTACGTGGGAAAGCCCTAGTAGCCTATCATTTTTGTGACTCGAGGATATTAAAAAAGGTCTTCTTGCACGGTTTGTCTTCTTCTAAGAATGAGGGTTGTAGGTGTCGGTTAATAACCATTTCGATATCATGCTCGCGAGGATATTAAAAAAGGTCTTCTTGCACGGTTTGTCTTCTTCTAAGAATGAGGGTTGTAGGTGGCGGTTAATTACCATTTCGATATCATGCTAGTTATTCAAGTAGCTTGGAAAATAATAGTTACAATAGACTGAATTAATATGTTCGACCTCATCCAGACTATCGACGAGTTAGTAGTTTAATAAAATCCACATATTTTAAAGACGGTCCAAAATAAGTTGATTCATATTTTTAGATGGATCGTTTATACCTCGTATGAGTCTGAATCGAGCTTATACAGGTAAGTCACTTTGAATCAACTCACCCATGTAGACACCCTCTATAGAACTTATTTATGTTACAAAGGTCGTATCTTGAAACTAATTTACTTTAATTTAATTGTAACGGTCTAGCACCTTGATATTTTGGAATAGTTATTTCGAAACATTTATATTTCAATGGTTTACATAATTGAATAAATAGGAATTCTTTTATACAAATAATCGTTGGCCGTGGCTATGAAAAATAAATAAATAAATATGTATGTATTTTCCCTTCTAGTTATTGGAAATACATGTAACAAGGAATAAAAGTTGAAAATATTCTGTATAGCTTTTAAATGGTCGGTGAGATTTTTAGTATATTCGACGGTATAATCACTTTTGTTATCTTTTTATCGAACATTTGGGATTATTAAACCTTATCTCCACATCTTATCTTTGGTCTTTTATATCCAAATCCATCAAAAGCTTATCATCGCAGGCCCACAAATGATTTTAATGCTCTAAATTTCATTGTTCTAAAAGTTTGTTTACGCTTCTTCATCTACCCTTGAAGTTTGGTCTTACTGCTTAATCACTATTTACGCTTAGTCTTACTTAGTCTCGTAAAAGTTTGATACTTAACTTTGTCATCTAGACAATTTTAATCACTTTTTACGCTTAGTCTTACTTCGTCTCGTAAAAGTTTGATACTTAACTTTGTCATCTAGCCACTCCTCAACTTTTTTAGAACACTGAAACAAACAATACATAAAAGGAACCAAGAGACACGAAGGAACCAATAAAAAAAAAAATAAATAAATAAAACGATTACGAATATATGTGCAAAATTTTTGACCACGTTCTTGATCAAATATGAAGACAACGTACTTTTGTTATAATCTGCGCGACCCCCTTAAGAATAATCAATTTCAAGTAGAGATTTGAATATCGTATAAAGGGCAAATGAATTTGTAGATTTACAATTACAAATGTGTAATTGGAGCAAGTATTGTAATTTTAAAACTTAATTTTATTTTACTGTTATTTGGCATTTGATATATTTGAATCCAGAGATATTGACATTCACCGATCGTTTGATTCAACTGAAATTTATAATGAATATGTACTTTACAATTTGATAACATAAGATGGTTGAAAGGATGGTTGCTATTTAAGAAGGCCCCATTGAATCCAATAATGTCTCCATGTTTGACTTTAGAGGAAATTGCAAAAAATGTCAACTTTTATATTGTCATTTGTAAAAATGTCAAAAATTTCTTCGATGTCCATTTTACTATAATATAAATCAAAATGCCCTCATTAATAATTTTAAATTCCACAATGAAAACAAAATTATTTATATAATTAAAAATTGTATTGACCGATAATAATTTGACACATAACATATACTATTTATTTTAAAAAGTACAATGTCAATCATGCATTAAATACTTACTTCTTCCTATAAGTGGATACATAAAACATTTATGAAATATCGATGAGTACACTTAAAATGTCAAGAATATTATAAAATGTAGAGAACTCTCATGTTCAGAACGAAATCTCGTTCTAAACAAATGAAGTGTCAAATGTCAAGATAAACATGGTTTAAATATCAATAACAACTTTTAAAATGTCGAGAACGTCATAAAATGTTAAGAATAACAACTATTAAACACAACTTATCAACAAAAACAATACTTCAAAGAAAAATTATCTTCTACCGAAAATTGTGGAAAACCTAATCAACTGCAAATTTAGATGAAATTAAATTTTTCGAAATGAAATTATATGATTTTCTTTTGAATTGGAAACATATAATTTTTTTTTTTTTTTTGTGTTTATGACTTTTCTATTTCATCTTCTTCATTTTCTTACCAAAATTCTTGGTCAATACCTAATTTTAATCACTTTTTACGCTTAGTCTTGCTTCGTCTCGTAAAAGTTTGATACTTAACTTTGTCATCTAGCCACTCCTCAACTTTTTTAGAACACTGAAACAAACAATACATAAAAGGAACCAAGAGACACGAAGGAACCAAAAAAAAAAAAAAAACGATTACGAATATATGTGCAAAAATTTTGACCACGCTCTTGATCAAATATGAAGACTGCGTACTTTTGTTATAATCTGCGTGACTCCCTTAAGAATAATCAATTTCAAGTAGAGATTTGAATATCGTATAACGGGCAAATGAATTTGTAGATTTACAATTACAAATGTGTAATTGGAGCAAGTATTGTAATTTTAAAACTTAATTTTATTTTACAGTTATTTGGCATTTGATCTATTTGAATCCAGAGATATTGACATTCACAGATCATTTGATTCAACTGAAATTTATAATGAATATGTACTTTTACAATTTGATAACATAAGATGGTTGAAAGGGTGGTTGCTATTTAAGAAGACCCCATGGAATCCAATAATGTCTCCATGATTGACTTTAGAGGAAATTGCAAAAAATGCCCACTTTTATATAATTATTTGTAAAAAGGTCAAAAAAAAATTTCGATGTCCATTTTACTATAATATAAATCAAAATGCCCTCATTAATAATTTTAAATTCCACAATGAAGACAAAATTATTTATATAATTAAAAATTATATTGACTGATAATAATTTGACACATAACATATACTACTTATTTTAAAAAGTAACATGTCAATCATGCATTAAATATTTACTTCTCCCTATAAGTGAGTAAATAAAATATTTATGAAATACCGATGAGTGCACTTAAAATGTCAAGAACATTATAAAATGTAGAGAACTCTGATGTTTAGAGCGAAATCTCATTCTAAACAAATGAAGTGTCAAATGTCAAGATAAACATAATCTAAATATCGAGAACGTCATGAAATGTTAAGAATAACAACTATTAAACACAACTTATCAACAAAAACAATATTTCAAAGAAAAATTACCTTCTATCGAAAATTGTGGAAAACCTAATCAACTGCAAATTTAGATGGGATTAAATTTTTTGAAATGAAATTATATGATTTTCTTTTGAATTGGAAACATATAATTATTATTTTTTTGTGTTTATGACTTTTCTATTTCATCTTCATTTTTTTACCAAAATTCTTGGTCAATATCTAATAGATAATAAAAGCAAATGAATCCATTATGTATTAACTAGTATTAATGTAGCTTCTCATGAAAGCTACTTGTTCTTCTCGAGATTTGTGACTAATTGAAAAAAAAAATTGCTTCATTCATTGAGGATATAATACACAATTTGATACCAAATTTAGATATTTTTGCAAGAATTATCAAAATTGGACAATTTTCAATTGACAAGTATAAAATTGACCATTTATGTAAATTCCCCTGGACTTTATGTAGTTTTCCACCACTAAAACAAGTCAACGCTGGGATTTGAAAATAACAGAAGTGACCTTAGACATGTTAAAGGCCATTGATGCTAGATAATATTATTAAAAATATCTCAACCCATTGTGCCCTGGCCATACTTTTTTTTTATGCTGTCAAATTTAAATTATATTTAAGAAAATAAAAAAATAATAAGTACATAAAGAAACGAAAATGGGAGTGGAGATATTTTAATCACAATCCTGCCTCCCGGATCTTCCAGGCACGACGGGGGCTCATCGACATTGCTAAATTAAGCTTATGGTCTAAGATACATGTTTGTGATCTCAAGCATCAGCACATACATGTTAAGCCCATGTAGTTCTATGACTTCTAAGACAAAATATGAATGAAACTGCAACTTCAAAACCAAGTAGAAATCCATTAAGAACTTAAAAAAACTTTAATCTCAAGTTAACCAAATTTTACACAAAACTGTGTTCTGGATTTGCTCTATTAGTAATAAACTCAAACCATGTGTACTGTAATAAACATGACAAGTAATACAAACAATTCTTTGTCAACTTAATCTCGCAGCCTGATTTTAGACAGTTAACTCACTTTTGATTGATGATGAAAGCATATTTAATCGTTTCCCTTCAAGCCAACTTGGAAACACAGAGTAATCTCACAAAAATCTTCATAGTCTGATGCCTCGGCTTTTTCTAGTTCTACGGGTGGATGTTGTATAAGGTGTCATTCTAGCAAGTGTATCGGGACTGGAATGTTCTTCATCATCGCTATTGTCATCAGATCTCCACTGCGGTCCACCATTAGGATTTATGTTCCCAACAGAGAAGTCCTTCGGCTCATGACTGAAATGCAGAATGAAAACAGAAGTGAACAAACACAGGCATAATGGAGCAGGAAAATTTGCACCTGTGAGTAAGCTAAGCAGTTAAGAAAGCATGGAAAAGAAACTGAGAAGGGATTTAGGATAATATTACCTCCAAGGCATGTCTACTAAATTATTCATGGGTGGTATCCAAGGTCTATCAGCTGTGTCTGGCAGCAAATGTTTATCGGAGATATTTTTGTCTGAATCTTGAGCAAAGTCTGAGAAAATGCTATGGTAGCTACCAAGCGAAGCGACAGGATCAGCAGCAGCCCTGGTAAAAAATGAACCAGATATTTGCAATTGGTCAATCGAGCCATTTTGAGCTCTCTGTGGAGATATTTTTTTCTTTTGATTATTTTGGAAAATGCTATTCCGACGAATGCTTGATGTACTTCTATTGAACTCTTTAAGTGAGGAGGCAGTCGGAGGTTTTGCAAAAGGATTTGCAGAAATTGAAATTTCATCAGATTCAGGAAGAACCCCATAAACATTTCCAGGATTTTCTATATTTGTCTCGTTGAAAAAATTTGTAAAGGCAGTAGAGGAGCTAAAATTTCTGATGCCAAAACTAGAAATATTAAGAGGTCCACCTATTTTTGGAGGAGTTTGAAGAACTGGAGGAGGTTTCAAGGGAGGACTTGCAATGTCTGTGATCCCAGCAAGGGAAGAATCAATGGAGGAAGGAACCAAAAAACTGCCCAAGATTGGTCCTCGTAGTTGAGAGAGATCAGATTTTGGTGGAATATTGGCTTCATTGCCACTAAAAACAACAACTTCAGGAGTTTTTCCAGTCTTCACTTGTTGTTGTAAGATATATGGCAACAACTCTATCCCTCTCCCCTGCAGAAGAGCATTAGTTTCAGAAACTTGTTTATTTTACATCAAATCCTCAGTCAGAATCAGTTAACTGTTAATTCAAAGCACTCCATGGGCACCCCTGAAATCTTCATCCCAATACACCACTACCCCAACACCACAAATACCTAAAAGAATAAAGAAAAAGGAAAATAGACACAGACCACACGGTTAGTATCCTCCATAGTTTGATTTTACTGTGTCCCTGAAACAAACTTCCCCATTCTACAATTGCTTGGTTCAGATACAAGGTTTCCTCATTGAAAACAAATGATGTCATGTTATAAATAACAATCAAAGTAACAGTAGAACTGATAGAGCCCGACTTCCCAGGGAACATTGTTATAGAAAATGAGGAACAAGAAAAGACGAAGTTTGTCTAGAAAGCCTTGATCTTGCAACAAAGCATAAGAGAAGTGAAATTACAGCCCATGTACATTTTTTGGGCATTTGTAATTACAGGAACTATTAGCTGCATAAAATAGAAAATTTATCAAACTAGCAAAAGAACATACCCAGAGGCTAAACGCTTGATATGGTAGTGTCCTGATGTAGCAAACATACAGAAAGCACATACATGATATTTGATAAGGGTTCTATTCAATTAAAGATCATAGATTTGATGATTAAAAACATGTATCTGCATCTTTCAATCAACTTTTGCACCTATTAGGTCAAGACTCAAACTCAATTAGTTTATTATCTATATCTCATTAATATATACTTCATTTGTTAATTCATAACCACACAAGAATAAATAACTGATGAGTAACTTGAGAAAAGCTAGACCACTTACAACTAATTCCCTTCTCCAATGACTTCTTGACCTTATTTTAAATGAGTCTTCTTCACTGAGTGAATTTTTTGAAATGAAGTCTTCCTCTGCCTTATGAAGTGTACAATCCACTTGGTATGCCTCAATGTACCGGTGACGCTGAAATGGAAATGAAACACAGTCTAAGTAATTGTCCATCAGTCCACAATAATTTGTGTGGGGGATACAGATGAAGATTAAGTTAATTGAGATCTTACCCACATATTTTGTAGCAACATGCATGGAATAAACACAAATATTAATGGCATATTCATATCCAGTTATATGTACTGAAAAGGCACTACGTTTTCCCTTCACATTCCACACAATTCCAATGTACCAAGTGTGACCTTTTGTAAGGGGATGGATCATATTTCCAAGACGAAAGTTCATGAACTTTTTCTAGCACGATTGAAGACATGTTATCGCTTCAAATTTAATGGCCCTAGTAAATTTAGAAAGAAAAAAAATTAATTGCAAGGATTACGATGCGAGCACCTTAAACTTGATTTTAAAAAAAAAAAAAAAACACTAATTACATAAGACTAGGAGGGGATAAAATAGTAAATTAGAACTTTGAAAAATTGAAGTTCAGGCTAAGCAGAACTAGGATGATACACATTCAGTTTCATAGTAGGAATAAGGATGATGGCAAAGCTACTTTAGACTTTAGAGCATCGTGTTCTCCTAATGAAATATTAATTTTGGTATTTAGATTCAATTAATAACAAACTGGTCTTCGAAAAGATGGAAATCATAGTATCAGGGTGAGTGAGATGAAACCGAGTACATGGATTCTATACGTAAAAATACCTGCAAGGTTGAAAGGCAAGTTCTATACAACATATAGTAGACCAATATGCCTTATGGTGTCGAGTGTTAAGTTATTAAAGGACAAAATTTTCCATAAGACATAGCAGGAAAGAAAATATTAGATAGATGAGTACCATAATATAATGGAAAAAATAAGAAATGAGAATATACGAGAAGGTGGCACCAGTTCAGGATAAATTAAGAAAACGGCAATATAGGTTAGAGGGGACATGTATTCATGTACTCAATTTCACAGTTTCACTATTAGAGATATTTGCAAACGAAATCAACCCAAGTTGGAGTTAGTATTATCCAGTGTTCTAAAAAGCTCACCTAAGCACATTTGAATTTTTTCCTTCATCTCTTTCATCTTCCCTATGCGCGCTTTATTAGTTATTTATTTGTTTTTTTAAAGTCTTTTATTTGACTTTAACTTATTAATTTTTTTATTTCTAAAAAAAAACTTTTCATTTGACTTTAATTTCAAGTTTTTAAAAGATTTTATCCGTACAAAAGTTAAAAATGACTTTGTTTAAATAGTTAAATAAGATTTAAGTTATGGTGCTATCTACATTATATAATTATGATCTTGAGACATGTTATTTTGTTACAAACTTCAAAAAATGTACGAAGTTCCTATAAATCTATTAAGTAGGATTTGTCTAGTTGAAAATTGAAACTATGAAAAATATTCTAATTTTTTCATTTCGAAAATTAATGGTAGGAATTATTAAGTAAATATAGTATTTTATAATTTTAAATGTTTGATATGTATTATTTTAATTACTAAATAATTTTTAAAATGATTAAAAATTTAAAATAAGATTAAAAATAAGAAAACGTTTTTTTACGCCTAAGTCTTGCCTAGGCTCCCTTAAGCTCGTAAAGCTTGAAACTTCGTCTCCACACCTTGCCACGCTTTACGCTTTTTAGAACACTAGTATTATCTTTCCAAAATCTTACTCCAACCATATAATTCAATTCCCCACACACCTAACAACGAAACAAAGAGAGATCAATATGCCAATCACGCCATGAACATTTCAATAATTTAGACTAACTCGGCAAGCTAAGCAACTAGCCACACAACACCAACTTTTTCCAAATGATTCTTCAAGTGGTTTGGCAACAATTTCAGCTCCTAAACGAAGCGAACCCTTTAAAATATATGTGAGCAATCTTAGATATTGGAAAGCAGGTCTCTACCTAAATACAAATGCAGTACCTGTAAATAGAAAACCACAAGAAGACCTCCAACAGCCTTTGAAGGATTATCAATAGCGAAATCCAATAGGCATTTATGAAGATGTTTCTCCTCATCAGGATTCCAGGGCAATTCAATCATTTGATCAACCAAGTTTCTCCAAATACAAAGACAACAAATTTCAGTCACCAGTGCCTCCACCCAGAGTACACAATTCCAGCAGTCATCTTTTACTTTAACGGAAGCATCCCTCACTTTCTTATCCTTGACCTTTGTGCATACCATTCTCTGATGCAAAAAAGCCTCAGTCAGAAGCCCACATTCCACCCGCACTCGAACTGTGGTAACAGTCTCCTCAAGTGAAACTAATGAAGCACCACCATCTTGTCCTGACCACCTCAAAACCATGAGAGCTGCATCAGGTTGCTGTCTCTCTAAGAGAGCCTGTGCAACCTTAGGATGAATTGTTGGTCCTGCAATTTCAGGAAGAAGGCGAGAGGCTTCCTAGCAATCAAGTGATGAATTATCAACAATTAATGCACCCAGAGAATCAATACGACTGTTCTGAAAAAATATAAATTTGGGATGGTATTTATAATATGATCTTGTTCTTAGCACCATGAACTTACCAGCAGTAAGCATAAATAACTAAAATAAGCAAAAATTTAGATGATCTACAATAATATTTACCTCGTAAAATGCATAAAAGGGTAACACACTAATACTAAGCCCCTATTTGACAACCATTTTACAACTCTTTTTTTCTCAAACTCATTTTTAACCACACATTCTCACGATAAAATATTATGCACATAAATCCAAATTTTTTCCCACATTTTAATCACACATTCTCAAAAAAAAATAACTATTCCGAAACTCATTTTCCCAAATAAAAAACTCTATATAATGGTTGTCAAACAGGGGATAGATGAAGAAAATGGTCAAATTACTGTAAAAAGGAAAGTAGATGCATTAAAGAAACCTAGTTGACGAAGGGACCGTTTATTAGCTCAACTGACATCTAAGTTTACCAGCCAAGTGACTGCTTACTGTTACTACACATCTTCTAACCGTGGAAACTCCATCTTTGTTCTATTCAAATTATCTATGGGAAGCCATCTGTTCCATATTAACAGAATTGGAAACCACAGGATTTGACACGGGGGATAGGAAAATAAGTTGTCCAGAAACCAACATTACTTTCTCAACCAGATTTTCAAGTTTCCTTTAAAACTTAAAGATAAAATTATTTGCAATTTTTTCAGACTTCCAGCTAAAGAAATTGTACGTGCATATTAACATACATGGCTGGATGTTTGCATCTTGGTTCTTCCTTTCTTCTTTCTTACGTATTGGTTTTTGTATGCGGTATAGTGCTTACTTCACCTTCAATCCCTCAATATATTCCAATTTGCCAAATATCTAGCCAATGTATTCCAAATTCTATGTGCAGCTAAATTGTGAACCAACAGATGTGTCAATTGAATGAGTTTTCAGTTCAAGTTGCTTAATAAACTGCCAAATGATAGCAATATGTCTGGAAAGGAAATAAAATACCAAATTATTCAAATCAGCAGCATATTGTATATACATTTATGTGACAATCGAAGCCGTGAAAATTTTGAAGATCATTTCGCAATTCTCTTAGAAAAAAATATAGTGCTAGATCATTAAACAGCATTATCTGAATATTTTGCAAATATTAAATCAAAACCATCACCAGATTTGCCAAAGCAATGATGATTTTGAAGTTATATATGGTGATATTGCTATAGAATAATTAAGTCCACAAGGTCCTAACCCGGTGAGGCCAAAAGATAGCATAATTAACAACACTGCATTCTAACTCAAAAGACTCAAGATAATGCAGTTGTTCAACATGTTTTCATTTTAAAAATTTCACCTGCAGAGCTTCATCAGTGTGGTCATCCAGAAGACAAAAGGTAAAAGATTCCAGCAAGGAGTGCCTGGTTATACTGAAAGTAGCAGCAAAATCATCAACAACGTATCTCCATTTCTCATCAGGCACTGTCCACTGCCGATCAAATAGATAATACAAGAACTATGCCAAAAGTCAAAGAATTATAAAAAAGTAAAACTCTCAGATCAACACCATAAACCACCCCATGAGAAAGGAACTATAGCTAACTCCTGTATGAAACATACAATGATTAAATCTAAACCAAATACCGCATGAGAAAGGATACGATTGCTTGCTTCGAAACCACCATATCAGAATTTCCTTGTAAGAATAGAAAGTCGGCAGCAGCTCGCAGATTTTCAAAAGGATAGCACCCTCCCTTTCCAAGTAACTTAGACTGGGAAAGTAAAGAGCCTCCATCTCTCTGCAAAGATGCAATTGATAATTCTTCTATATCATTATCTATATTTCCTCCATCTGCCTCAAGATTTGAAAGTGCTTCCTCAATAAAGAGGGTAGAACTATTTTGTCTACTGTATTCTGTCTTCCAATTTATTGAGCCAGGCCATGAACGCTTAGTAGCAGCTGATTTTCGATCTTGAACGAGTGAACACCACGATGCAACATTGGAATGCCGAGATCTTACATTCTCCAAAAATTGATGTCTTATACACCAAATTATAATCTCCATGTGCTGTAAATCAGGAAACAGCATAAATTAACAGGTTTCCAATGTTGTACAAAAATATTTATCCAGTGATGGCCCACCCTACAGCATCATCTAAAAAATTAAACCAGAGAAAACTCATAGCCTGTTTAGAATTTAACGACTCTAAATAATATAAAATAATGGACAAATTTCTAATATACCTACCAATAGGGGTGCACAACCATATGCACATGGTAATAATTATATGATCAATAAAATGTTGAAGAGACATGCTTTTGTGCAGAAAACTTATATACCTGATTCTCCTTTAAATAATTATTATTGAATATTGAACCAAGAAGTAATGAGATTTCTCTAAGCAAGTAAGTTGAGCATAAATAAAAAATCTGGAACAAGCAATTTGACCTGCTTTGTCTTTAGTATACTCTCTTGAAGATGATGCAAATCATGAAGCTTTGCTGAAACCGAACCTTTAAAGGATGATTCCAAAACCTCAAGAACCATGGATATACCAGCTAGCTTCACAGATATTTTCAGAAGCAAATTTAAACTCTCTTTCATCTCTAGTGGTGTAAGATTATCTATTAAGGATGTCAAGGTGTGCAAAATCGATCCATTTCTACCTTACAACTATTAAATTTGAAAACAGATTATCAAGATTTAAACCTTAGGATACATATTGCTTGAAGCTGTGTCAGAATGTTTTTGAATGCTCGCTTGCACCAATCTTTAACAACCTTCTCATCAAGCAAGAAGGCAATAACCGGATCACTGGAGACAGCAGTTTCATCCATGCAAACATCTGTAACATCTGTGTCCTCTAATAAGGAGAAAAAACAACTACCTATGTAATTGAGTAAGCAAATCAATCTCATAGCAGGAGAAATGTACAAATCAATTTTATAGCAGGAGAAATGTACGGTACTCCATATACTATCAGTACAAAATAACGAATATGCTAAGCACCCTAACATTTCAATGATCCGTTTAAGGTTGCCTTTCAGTTCAACAAATTCTTCTTCAACACACGAAATTAAGACAAATGTATAAAAAGAAAAACTATTCAACTAGGCTCTCTAATAGGATATTTTTTATGTTTAAAACAATTGGGGTGTGTTTGATTGGCTTTATTTTTCATGAAAAAACGTCATTTTTCAACCAAGTTCTTACTTTTGAGGTGTTTGATTGACATTTTTTTACGTGAAAAATATTTTCCAAAAGTTGTCACGTGACCATGTTTTCCTCAAAAAGAAGGAAAACATTTTCTTTGAGATAGTAGGTTTTTATTTTCTAGGCAATTCACACTTCCTAAAAACCCAACCTTATGAAAAAGTACAACATTTTCTAGGTTAAAAATTAAGCCAATTAAACACATTTAATTTGCAATTTCCATGCTTATGTTACTTCCGCGCAAGTTTCATGCTTGCAATCAAACACACTCTTATGGTAGCAAAAGTCCTACACATGGAAAATAATTGTAAGAAACGGTCCAGATTTGAATAGGACTTTCCCTATTTCATGCCTTCCGATATAGGGTATTCTGCAATGACAATAAATGTGATGCTTCTGTCCAGACCAAAATAAGAGAATGTTTATGGATACAGTGGCAGATCAGAGAAACCAAATTATTCTCCAAGGAGACATCAAATAGAGAATAAAGCCGTTGAACATCAGCAATCAATTGATCCTCTGTAAATTCTTTATCTTGCAACCTATCATCACACTTTTTGGATATAAGACAAGCCTCTATACACTCATAGTAAAGGCGAAGCCGCAGTCTATTTCCATCCTTCGGCAAGGGATTTCTACATATTGGACAAACGTCACATCGTTGACTACATTCCTCACATAAGGCAGCATGGCTGCAAGAAATCAAAACACTTTGTACACAGCGTCCACAACTTCTCAGATCCCTAGTTGCCCGGCATCGCTCAACTTTAGCTTCAGTGCACAACTCAATTGGATCAATTGATGCCAAGTGTACTAATACGGCCTGCAAGTATGGGGGATAACTCTAGTGTCAAATAACAACTGTATTAATATTATATATGATCCACCGCTTCTCAAAGAGAAGATAAGAAAGAAAATCATTAACCAGCTTCAGCCTTCAAGTATGAAACAAATATCCTTTGAGCTGAAAATATGCCACTTAACAATATACTACCATCCCTCCAATTTCTTTTTTTCTTTTTAGAAAAAGGCGCTCACAAGTTCTTTAACTTTATTAAGTGTAATGAAAATTCGAGTATTACATCTATAATATACAAATGCGTGTATATAAGAAGCACGCAACCTAACCATACAGCCAAAGAGTAACTCTAAAACCCTAATTCAGCAACGCAGAACCCGCCTTACTGCGCAATTAAATTACAAAATACCCTTTCGAGTTGAAGTTTCAGTAGTAAATAATAACGAAGCTGAACAATCGAGACCTAATGTAACAGCGGATTTTAATACATAATATCAACTATATGAATACATACGAGTGTGTGTGTGTGCGCGCGCGCTATAGATAGTAAGAGAGAGAACGAGAGAATAAGCAGGTACTTGGACTTGGGAGTAAGTGTAATTGGGTGGGAGAGGAGGGGTGGTCCGAGAGGTGGAGCCGCCGGTGGGTTCGTCAAATCTCCATGCCTCCATTTCTCAATAAACTGTAATGAGATTGTGATATATGAATTAGAAAGATGGGAATCAATAATTAATGAAAGTAAACCAAAAGCGTCTGCATTTTGAGACTGTGCTGGCCAACTTCACGATGCAATTGAAAATTGATGCCTCTGTAAGAGAGGGAGGGAGGGATCAGCGCAAGTATTTGAACACTTTCGAGAGTCGTTTGAGTCAATGATTTTTGGTCAAATAGATCTTGTCAATACTTTTTGGTTAATTAGCCTTTACTTCATTTGAAATATCTAAAATATCAAGGCCCTATTTGGTACACATTATTTTTTTCATTCTCATTATTCTAATAATTTTCAATCACACATTCTTCAATAAAACAAAATTACACACAAATTTAAAATTTTTTCTCATTTTATAATCACACATTCTCCATCAAATCACTATTTCAAAGTACTTTTTTGGAACAAAAACATCCAATAAAATGAAAAATAATACAAATAGATGGCTGAATAGTCAAGAAAGAATTAATCGAATAAGAACAATTACTATATTTTCTTCATCCTCGTCGAATTCTTGTCTTAAGATAAGAATAAGAACAACCATTATCTTTTACTCATTCTAGTCGAATTCTTGTATTTAAGACAATAAATGTGTCCCTAAGAGTTTTTG